GACCTCTCGAGGTCCCTTCCAGTCCTAGAATCTATGAATCTATGAATGTGATGTGGAACTGTATCAAGAGCCTTACTAAAAATCAAGATACATCACATCTGCTGCTCTCCACCATCCTTTAGGCCAGTAATCTTGTCAAAAGGGAAATTAGGTTGGTTTGGCATGATTTGTTCTTGGCTATTCCTTATAACCATATTATCCTATGACAGCCATTAGCCCTGGGGAGCATAGGGGAAGACTGCTGGTTAGGGAAGGCACTTGCTCCAGCCATTCTCGAATGGGCGAGAAGATGAGAGAAGGAGATAACAAAGGCTTTCCCAGAATAAAAAGAAATAACTAGTCACGTGTCCCTAACTGATGAAGTAATTAGTCACTAACTCTTATCTGTTTGTCAGCGACTTCAAGCAGCACTGAATGAGCAGGACTGTGTGGAAGATGAGAAGGAATGAGAGATGGCAACAATGTTAAGGCAGGATTCTAGCCGTCTAGCCTATAAACCCTTGTTTGGAAAGAAAATACATACAAAACTGAACAGTTCCCATTTATTGTACTTTGATTAAATAAAAACATTTTGAAGACATTTTTGTATATATTTCTGTACAGCACTTTTTGCATTAAAATTAATAGTCGTAGTGGAAGAAACAAAAAAAATGGTCCTCTCCCTCCCCTGCCCCCAATGTAGTGACCAGCATAACCAGTCTGCAGGCCTCTAGAAATGGTTGTATCAACATTATTCCATTGCACAGTAAAAAAGGACCTCAGAAATAGGCTCTGTTCGCCAGCTGGCCATTACCAACTCCTAGTATAGCCCATAATTGTTTCCCCAATGGTTTCCATGTGCCAAACGGTCTCTGAAACTCTGTTGTGAGCTGGTGGACACACCCACAACAGAACACCTCCACTTGCAATCCAACAAACATTGGCATTACTTTAAAGCAAGGTTGGAATAGAATTCTCTTTTGTTTAACGAGGTTGCCCAAGAAGTCCTGCTTTGGCAGCTAGAGCTTCGTTCTGCTGAATATGATACTCCTGAAATCTCATGGATATCCTCTGCGTCATTTTTAAATATTTCTGTAAGCAGTGTTCTGAGCACGTCATCTACAGGAAAAAGGAGACACAGAAGGACCACAACAATGATTAAAGGAAAAAACTGACCAAAGACAGTTTATGATGGCATATGACTAGGTGACTACACTCTTGTGTCCTATGCTTATGCTGCCTTTAGCCCCAAGCTCACTGCCCCGCCTGTTTTTGATGGGAAAAAAATGTCAAGTTTAGTTTTCAAGGAAAGTATGAAAAGCGGAGTTTTCTTTTGGCATTCATTCCAATGGAAAACTACCATAGAGAATCTTTTAAAAATGAAAGAAGTCATTATGTCCCCCTCATATCCCTACGATCCTCTGAAATAAAATCTATAGTCTCTTACCTTATGGCAAAGGCCAATATTACATCAGTCGCTATTTCTTTAAATTCTGTGTGACCCACCTTCTGCCCATGGCAGCCAAATGTGGCCTACTATATCCCCTATTCATTCTAGGCTTCCATTGGGATCCCTCCAACTAACTGTATCTGCCACTTGTGGTGTGTACTCAGAGAACTTTTCCTAGGGCTGCTGTAATAATTCTTGTCATTCTGTTGGCTTAGTTGGCTGGGATGTACTATGCCCATTCCATGTTCTGCATTGCATCACTTTTGCAAAATTGGTTTTACCAATCTACAGCAGGTTTCCAAAGCTATTCCTGGGCCAATGTTGCACATGCTGGCCACTGCTTCCCGCAGCTCCCATTTGCTGGAAATGACAAACCGTGGCCACTGGGAGCTGCGGGGGGTTGTGCCCGCTGACGGTCAACGTAAACAAAATGTCTCACGGCCCGCCTTCGGATTACCCCAATGGGTTACATGCCGAAGGTTGCCGACCTCTGCATTATATGATGCTCCCAAACTAGCTGTCATTATCAAAAATGAACCGATAGTTACAGTGAAAGCATGCAAAACTTAGAAACAAAGGGAACAGGACCAGTTTGCATCATTACCGATCAACTAGGAGTTGTTTTGATCATGCTTAGAATTTAGAAATGGGGAAAGGAGGTCTAAACTGTTGTTGTCTGGACATCAGCTACCTGGTAAAACCTGTTGAGCAGCAGTGAACTCTAGCTAAACAACTACAATGAGGGAGCCTGGAACAGTTCCAAACCATTGCTCCCAGAGGGCGTAATATTCAGGGGATGGTGCCTTGGGAAGGCTAGACTTGCACCAGGGGTTGCTATGTAGAAAAGTGACCAAAGATGAATTTTAAAAAATTGTGGCATTGCTCACAGGAGATTCCTGGATGCTTTTGATTTTTATTTAATATGAAACTAAACTTGAATAGAAACATAGGAATTGCCATACCAGATCAGACCAGTGGTCCATCTAATCCAGTATCCTGTTTCCAATAGTGGCCAGTGCCAGATGCTTCACAAGAAGGTGCAAGAAACCCTGTAATGGACAATTATGTAATAAACTGCCCATAAAGAAAGTTTCTCCCTAATCCCCATCTGTTAATGATTGGCTCTTGTCCTGCAGCATGGAGGTCCCTTTACGGAGTAGAAAAGAAAAATGTCTAGCTACAGGTTTCTGTTTATATCCAAAAATCTTAAAAGACTCTACAGACACGATCCATCAGGATTCTCACTCTTGGATCTTAGCTCTTTAGCAAAAGACCAGCAGAACTCCCATTAAGAAGTTTTATCCCTGAGTGGTAGCAGGATAAGGTACAAGTCTGATCATCTACTGGATGTCACATCACTCCTGCAGGCTATAAATGTTGCCTCCAAAACATTTCAGTCAGTTCCTTTAATTGCACAGGAGGTGAACCACCCATATGGCTAAAACAATTCAAAATGATTCATGATTTAAAAATGCCTCCAAAAATACACAAACAGTGCAAGATGGGAAACACCCTCCAAAGAGGATGATTCCGAACTCTGAGGGAAAGTGGGAGGGTGAGTGAGCATTCCAGGAGAGTCTTTCTTCAGAGAAGTAGATTTCAGGTGGGTAATTTTCCCTTCTCTAAAGAATTCTCATTCTTATAGAGTAAGAGGCTCTAGGAATGCCTCAGAACAAAATATGTTGCTGCTGCTTGTTGCAGCCTTAGAAGGCCAATGCCAACACCAAAAACAGGGAGGCTATCTGCATATATGTGAAGAAAATAAGGAAGAAGATATTGCCTTCCAGGGTCTGATGTGCAATGTCCTGTAAAGCGCCTGGCATGCACTTAGTCCTGCAACTACTGGCCTCGGGTCAAAATTTTTTGAAAAGCTGTGGTGTGGGAGATCTGTTGTTTGCATGCAAGGGAGCTAAGAGGAAAGAGCAAGAATCCTATCAGAATGACAACTGCACAGAAACAGAACCACAAATACGTCATTGTCCCTTCAGTTAACATTTCTCACCTGCAGGCTGCATACATACTGAAGAGCTATAACCTCTTGTATGTTAGTTTAACTAATTTTTGATCGGATCAAAACTTTCAAAGCTGCTTATCAAATTCAAATATTATCATACAGCATTTCCACAAAAGAGAAACCCAAAACACACAACAGGGGCATACCTCTTCTGATTTAACCTCCCTGCTAGTGAAATCTTTCACACAATCCAGGAAACAGGTTTCTGTAAGTTTATTGTATGTCCCAAGAAACTCCTTGAACTGTAACAAATTGAACAGACATGCAATATTAAAAGAAAAGAAGACATTTTCAAACTTTTCCCATGTACAGCTTGCAATAGCTGAATGTACCATTCAGTGACATTAACAGAACAGACTACTCATTTAAAGTGACAAGTCACCAGAGGTAATTTAGTATCAATGCAATAACATCATTTGATGCTGACAACTACTGTTCCCGTAGATCAGATACTATTCCATGCCTGCTGATTTGCTGATGATCAAAATAATTAAATCTTGGCTACCTTAATATTGTTCCCAATTCATAAAAGAAGTTAAGCTACAACTCAGACAACATTTTACTTGCTAAGTAACTGGGGGAAAAGCTGTATTTCATATATGCATGCTAATAACTTTGAAGATAAAATGCTGAAACCTCTTGAAACCAGTTTCCATAAAACTCCATTGCTAAGCTTCAGTGTGTTGAGGTAATGCAAGTTTCTCAAAACCATCATTTATTAATACAGAATATTATCTTACCTGTTTGATCTGGTCAGATTCTGATATTTGCCCAGCCATATTCTATTGGTCTGCAATCAGCCACCTAATTTTAAGATAACATTTGTGTCATAATTCACACCAAAACACATATATAAGAAATATAACATTCGAAGGCTGAATAAAACTCTGCCCCTTCTGTAAGCGTAGCCAGACATAACTGTGGTTTCAAAGAAACAAGAATAAGTGACTACTGTGACTTAGGGTATGTCTACACTACGAAATTAGATCGAATTAATAGAAGCCGGTTTTATAGAAATCGGTTGTATACAGCCGATTGTGTGTGTCCCCACATAAAATGCTCTAAGTGCATGAAGTCGGCGGACCGCGTCCACAGTACCGAGGCTAGCGTCGACTTCCGGCGCATTGCACTATGGGTAGCTATCCCACAGTTCCCGCAGTCTCTGCCGCCCATTGGAATTATGGGTTGAGATCCCAATGCCCGGATGATGCAAAACAGTGCCGCGGGGGGTTCTGGGTACATGTCGTCAGGTCCCTCCCCCTACGTCACAGCAACGGCAGACAATAGATTCGCGCCTTTTTACCTGGGTTACCTGTGCAGACAACATACCACGGCAAGCATGGAGCCCGCTCAGCTCAGCTCACCGTCACCATATGTCATCTAGGTGCCGGCAGACGTGGGACTGCATTGCTACACAGCAGCAGCAGCTAACTGCCTTTTGGCGGTAGACGGTGCAGCATGACTGGTAGCCTTCATTGGCAATCTGGGTGCGGGCAGCTGTGGGGCTGGCAGCCGTAGGGCTGCATTGCACCAGCCCCTTGCCTTTTGATAGAAGATGGTTTATTACGACTGGTATCCGTCGTCGTCGTACTGCAGTGGCTGTCAATCATGGGCACCCGGGCAGACAATGATGGTTATCAGTCGTAGTATGCTATTTTCTGCCAAGTGCCCAGTATTGTCTGCTAAGCACCCAGAAGAGGCCGATGGCGATCTGGGTGCTGGCAGACATGGGGCTGGCAGACGTGGGGTTAGATTGCTACACAGCAGCAACCCCTTGCCTTTTGGGCAGTAGATAGCATATTACGATTGGTATCCATCATTGTCATATTGCAGTGGGTATCAGATGGTGCAATAGACCTGAAGGCTTACTGCCAAGCGCCCAGTATTTGCTGCCAAGCACCCAGAAAATGCCAAGGGCTATCAGTCATGCTGCACCGTCGTCTTAAGATGTAAAAAATAGATTTATTCTGTATTCATTTGCTTCCCCCCTCCCTCCCTCCTGTTAAACCCTGGCTTTTGAGTTCAATCTTTGGGGGGGGGAGCATTCTGTGTGACAGTTGTTTGTGTTTCTCCCTGATGCAAAGCCACCTTTCTTGATTTTAATTCCCTGTACCTGTACGCCATGTCGTCACTCGCCCCTCCCTCCCTCCCCTGGTCCGTCAGATACTACTTTCGCGCCTTTTTTCAGACCAGACGCCATAGCTAGCACTGGGATCATGGAGCCCGCTCAGATCACCGCGGCAATTATGAGCACTATGAACACCACGCGCATTGTCCTGGAGTATATGCAGAGCCAGGACATGCCAAAGCAAAACCAGGACCAGGCGAGGACGAGGAGGAGGCGATTGCAGCGCGTCGACGAGAGTGATGAGGAAATGGACATGGACATAGACCTCTCACAAGGCACAGGCCCCAGCAATGTGGAAATCATGGTGTTCCTGGGGCAGGTTGATGCCGTGGAACGCCGATTCTGGGCCCGGGAAACAAGCACAGACTGGTGGGACCGCATCGTGCTGCAGGTGTGGGACGATTCCCAGTGGCTGCGAAACTTTCGCATGCGTAAGGGCACTTTCATGGAACTTTGTGACTTGCTTTCCCCTGCCCTGAAGCGCCAGAATACCAGGATGAGAGCAGCCCTCACAGTTGAGAAGCGAGTGGCGATAGCCCTGTGGAAGCTTGCAACGCCAGACAGCTACCGGTCAGTGGGGAATCAATTTGGAGTGGGCAAATCTACTGTGGGGGCTGCTGTGATCCAAGTTGCCAGGGCAATGAGAGACCTGGTGATATCAAGGGTAGTGACTCTGGGAAACGTGCAGACCATAGTGGATGGCTTTGCTGCAATGGGATTCCCAAACTGTGGTGGGGCGATAGACGGAACCCATATCCCTATCTTGGCACCGGAGCACCAAGCCACCGAGTACATAAACCGCAAGGGGTACTTTTCAATGCTGCTGCAAGCCCTGGTGGATCACAAGGGACGTTTCACCGACATCAACGTGGGCTGGCCGGGAAGGGTACATGATGCTCGCGTCTTCAGGCACTCTGCTCTGTTTAGAAAGCTGGAGGAAGGGACTTTCTTCCCGGACCAGAAAATAACCGTTGGGGATGTTGAAATGCCTATCGTGATCCTTGGGGACCCAGCCTACCCCTTAATGCCATGGCTCATGAAGCCGTACACAGGCAGCGTGGACAGTAGTCAGGACCTGTTCAACTACAGGCTGAGCAAGTGCCGAATGGTGGTGGAATGTGCATTTGGCCGTTTAAAAGCGCGCTGGCGCAGCTTACTGACTCGCTCAGACCTTAGCGAAAAGAATCTCCCCATTGTTATTGCTGCTTGCTGTGCGCTCCACAATATCTGTGAAAGTAAGGGGGAGACATTTATGGCGGGGTGGGAGGTTGAGGCAAATCGCCTGGCCGCTGATTACGCGCAGCCAGACACCAGGGCGGTTAGAGGAGCACAGCAGGGCGCGGTGCGCATCAGAGAAGCGTTGAAAACCAGTTTTGTAACTGGCCAGGCTACGGAGTGAAACTTCTGTTTATTTTTCCTTGGTGAACCCTCCGCCCCTCCCCCCCCCACCCGGTTAACTCTACTTCCCTGCAAACCAACCACCCCACCCTCCCCTACTACCCTCCCCCCTTCGAGCACCACTTGCAGAGGCAATAAAGTCATTGTTACTTCACATTCATGCATTCTTTATTAATTCAGCACACAACTAGGGGGATAATTGCAAAGGTAGGCCTGGATGGGTGGGGGAGGAGGGAAGGAAAAAGACACAGTGCACTTTAAAACTTATTGCACTGGAAATCATCTAGGCTGGAGTGATTGGGTGGCCGGAGGCCCCCCCACCGTGTTCTTGGGCGTCTGGGTGAGGAGGCAATGGGACTTGGGGAGGAGGGCTGTTGGTTACAGAGGGGCTGTAGCGGCGGTCTCTGCTCCTGCTGCCTTTCCTGCAGCTCAACCATACGCAAGAGCATATCACTTTGATGCTCCAGCAGCCGGAGCATCGACTCTTGCTTTCTGAGTACAAGTTGACGCCACCTCTCCTCTTCAGCCCGCGTTTCAGCACGCAACTTCTCCTCTTGAGCACGCAACTTCTCCTCTTCAGCCCACGATTCAGCACGCCATCTCTCCTCTTGCTCATATTGGGCTTTTTTAAAATCAGTCATTGACTGCCTCCACGCATTCTGCTGTGCTCTGTCAGCGTGGGAGGCAGTCTGTAGTTCAGTAAACATTTCGTCACGCGTCCTTCGCTTCCTTCTTCGAATATTCACTAGCCTCTGCGAAGGAGTAAGATTTGCAGCTGGTGGAGAAGGGAGAGGTGGTTAAAAAAGATACATTTTAGAGAACAATGGGTACACTCTTTCACGTTAGATTTTGCTGTTCACAACATCACACAGCACATGTGCTTTCGTTACAAGGTCGCATTTTTCCTCTTATATTGAGAGTCTCCTGGTTTGGTGTGAGAGATCACTCACGCAGTGCCAGGACACAGATTTCAGCTTGCAGGCAGCCATAGTAAGACATACAGTCTTTGGGCTTTTTTAACCTTCTTAACATGTGGGGATGGTTTCAAACAGTACTGCCCTCATTTCCCATACCAAGCACCCGTTTGGTTGGCCATTTAAAATGGGTTTGCAATGTAAAAGGAGGGGCTGCGATTTCAGGTTTAACATGCAGCACAAACCCAACTAACTCCCCTCCCCCACACACCCAATTCTCTGGGATGGTCACTTCACCCCTCCCCCCCACCGCGTGGATAACAGCGGGGAATATTTCTGTTCAGCAGACCAGGAAGGGGCACCTCTGAATGCCCCCTTAATAAAATCACCCCATTTCAACCAGGTGACCGTGAATGATATCACTCTCCTGAGGATAACAAAGAGCGATAAGGAATGGATGTTGTCTGCATGCCAGCAAACACCGGGACCATACGCTGCCATGCTTTGTTATGCAATGATTCCAGACTACGTGCTACTGGCCTGGCGTGGTAAAGTGTCCTACCATGGCGGACGGGATAAGGCAGCCCTCCCAAGAAACCTTTTGCAAAGGCTTTGGGAGTACATGAAGGAGAGCTTTCTGGAGATGTCCCTGGAGGATTTCCGCTCCATCCCCATACACGTTAACAGACTTTTCCAGTAGCTGTACTGGCCGCGATTGCCAGGGCAAATTAATCATTAATCATTAAACACGCTTGCTTTTAAACCATGTGTAATATTTACAAAGGTACACTCACCAGAGGTCCCCTGTGTGCCCTCAGGGTCTTGGGTGAGTTTGGGGGTTACTGGTTCCAGGTCCAGGGTGATAAACATATCCTGGCTGTTGGGGAAACTGGTTTCTCCGCTTCCTTGCTGCTGTGAGCTATTTACATTATCTTCATGCTCATCTTCCTCATCCCCAGAACCCGCCTCCCTGTGTGTTTCTCCACTGAGGGACTCATAGCACACGGTTGGGGTAGTGGTGGCTGCACCTCCTAGAATGGCATGCAGCTCCGCGTAGAAGCGGCATGTTTGCGGCTCAGCCCCGGACCTTCCGTTTGCCTCTCTGGCTTTGTGGTAGGCTTGCCTTAGCTCCTTAATTTTCACGCGGCACTGCTGTGTGTCCCTGTTATGGCCTCTGTCCTTCATGGCCCTGGAGACCTTTTCTAATATTTTGCCATTTCGTTTACTGCTTCGGAGTTCGGCCAGCACTGATTCATCTCCCCATATGGCGAGCAGATCCCGAACCTCCCGTTCTGTCCATGCTGGAGCTCTTTTGCGATCCTGGGACTCCATCACGGCTACCTGTGCTGATGAGCGACCTGTGCTCTCCACGCTGAGCAAACAGGAAATGAAATTCAAACGTTCGCGGGGCTTTTCCTGTCTACCTGGCCAGTGCATCTGAGTTGAGAGTGCTGTCCAGAGC